ACCGATTTTGCAATTGATAGGTAGGTTGACGTCATTGCAGTGTGTTTTTGACGGTATGATAATCTGTACCTCTTAAAGAAAGGGGTAATAAAAGTATTATTAAAGAAAAAAAGTAATAAACATACGCGCTTAAAACATAGAAATTTGAGAATATCTTTATTATGTTTTCATGTGAATCCATTTTGTAGGTCATATTTTGTAGTACTCTATAAATATAGTAATGTTTTGTATTTTGAGATGCCCCCTCTTGTAACAAGACGGTAGAATTCTGTGTTTCTTATATATATTGTATGATATAAAATTCCTCATCAAATATTATAGTTTGAACAAAATGTCTATTGTAGTATTTGTAGAATTTGCTTTAAAGTTCCAAAAATTGGCATTTTCCTATATAATCCTATAGTAAATGTACCTGTATTTTGAGACGGTCCCTCAAAAATACCTGGACGGTAGATTTCACCCAAACTTTGCATTTACACTGAAGATAATGTAAGTTATATATGGTATAAAAATGAAGAGTTTCGCTATTGTAGTTTTCACACAATAAAACTATAGTCGGCCCCCTTAAATGGTTCACCGTAAACATTGATGTTCACGAAATAACTACATCTGCCATGGAAATAAATGAAACCTGAAGTGCTTGACCTAACAAAATTTTTGTTGATTGGTTAAGACATTCTTTGTTAAGGTTTGTAAATTTAGGCCATCCTTATTTGTTAATTTTGTATTTCATTTAAGTGGTTTGTCAAGAGCGAGGATGTTCGTAACACATGACAACACAAAAATGTTATTTACAGATGTATAAAATTTCTTCCTCCTTGAAATACTTCACCTTAAATAAACTTTGTCTTCAAAAAAAGTATTTCTTCTCTTAGGTAAGTTTTCATTTACAAGTTGCATTTTTAAATCAGAGGTAGCGTTATACAAATTTTAAAAATTCTTGCAAAATTAGCAATTTTGACATCAGTTTTTCTGAAAATATTTGACGCATTCTGTGACTATATATTGACTTTGTAAAACTTACGTCCCTTGTGATAGAAAGGCTTACACCCCAAAGGTAAATGTTTGAACAATTAAATCTACAAAACTTTTTATGTACTTTACCGGAATTCGGAGTCATCTATCCTGAAAAGTCTGAATTTATGTTGAAGATCATTTTAAGTCAATTAACCTGTACCTAAGTTATTCGACTTTAGTCTCTAACTTTCTTATTTTAATGAGTGTGTGGCCAACCATTTGTACAATCTAATCTGTGCATTAACATCTTAGTATAGTTGTGTATTTTAATATTGCAATGGCAGTTTTAAAAGAGATTTGCTACCTAAATCTGAACGAAATACGCTCACAGGTTATCTTTCATCTCAGGGTGAGCATGTAAACATGTTGCGAATAAAATATGGGGATTCCTTCACCACCGCCCACTGTCCATAGTTTTTGAGATAGGCAGAACGTATTTGAAAGAATGCAGGCATAGTTAGGTTGATTGTATGTACATGGGTACTTGAAAAGATTTTTTTTTCTTTTGTATGCTTAAATGGTGGTTTCAAGTAGAAAACTATTGATGTCTGAACTCTATTGTGTAGTTATTGAACTTCTCTAGGTCAAATTTAGATATTCAAATGGCAATGTTAAAAGTTTAATATATGCCCCATTACGGTGTTTGTAAAGTATGGGACCCTGTGTCTATGTTCTATTGTGTCTGTCTGTGCGGTGGAGCACTGTCTGATGTTTGTCTGCTGTATCGTGTAAGAGACATATAATGTTTTGTAAATACGTTGAATATATTTAATCTGTAAATACGTTACCCAGATTTGTATATTTTGGCAAAAGGACTTTAGTCATAGTTTTTTCCCTAAAGTCTAAAATTCTGGTGACAAAATAAATGAGAAAGGTTGTTGTAGGGAGGCCGGTTCGCGAATTATTATTCTCGTGATTTGACGTTAGAGAGACGTCTGTATGTAGTTCCAGTACTCCCGAAATCTACAGGGCAAAATAAGGCAAAAATGAGCCAAGAGTTTACTAATTTACAATAAACATACCTTTCTCAAAAGACGTTCATTTTGTCAACAGATAATTTAAGCTTTAAATGAAAAGTAGGGGTAGATGCATCGAAGGCCTTTTGTGTAATTAGCCAGGGAACAGGTGCTTGGTCACATTTACATTAAAATGGCCATGTTTTAAGTAAAACATTATATGTCTCTTACAATTCAAAGAATATACTGTGTTGGTAACAATCAAATATATATACATTTTACATAAAATGATCAGTGTTTTATATACCTTTACATTTTAGAATTATTTGACAAATAATAAACTTTTAACAATAACTGCCATTTGAATATACAAATTTAAAAGACGTAGTTCAAAAACAATAACAATAATCTCTATAATAATAAAAAGTTTTCTACTTGAAACCACCATTTAAGCATACAAAAGAAAAAAAAAAGATTTATAGGAAGAGAGGAAACTCTTGTTTCATTCTTTCATTAAATGACAACGTTCAGCTTAGCAAAAACTATGGACAGTGGGCGGTTGGTGAAGGAATTTTTTTTTATTCGCAACATTTTCAGCTCACCTGAGATGAAAGCTCAAGTGAGGTTTTCTCATCACATTTTGTGCGTAATCCGTCTGAAAACTTTCTTACTTTTTAAAATTTCGAATTCTTCTCCAGATCCACTCAACTTATTATATTTGTACAAATGGTTGGCCACACACTCATTCAAAGGGTAAATTATTTAGATAAAGTGAAACTTAGGTGGGATGTCTTTTTTTAAAATGATCTTCCCCCCCCCCCTGGAAAAAAATTCTGATGGTAAAATATTAAAAATGGGAGTGTAGATTTTGTGTAATCGAAGATTATAATTCGGGGTGAACGCATTAGTAGGAATCGATAAAGTTTTAAAAGAATATAAAAAATCCTGGATATATTCAAAAAACTCATACCATAAAAAGTTTTATACAATAATTTTTATTAAACATGTATACCTACCTCAAAAACTTTTAACCAACCTAGTTTTTCAAACAAAGGCTTAGATAGACAAAGTTTGTCAGGTGCTGCATCAGAATAATTCAAGCAGGCCGTTTCTAACATTTATGACATTTTTCAATGTTGCATGTGGACGGCCATTACACATGTATGCTTGACAAAGTTTTCTCACTTAAATGAAATACAAAATTTTATGGACAAATAACTTGTATCTCTAAATTTACAAACTGCATCAACATACCAATTATACTGAAGAAATTGATCTATCTGAATACTTCAGGTTTTATTTATTTCCATGGCAGATGTCAGTTATTTTTGCATCAATGTTTACGGTGAACATTTAAGGGGGCCGACTATAGTTTTATTGTGTGAAAACTAAAATAGCGAAACTCTTCATTTTTATATCATATATAACTTACATTAACATTAGTGAATATGTAAAGTTTAGGTGAAATCTACCGTCCAGGTATTTTTGACAGGCATTCTCAAAATACAGGTACATTTACTATAGGATTATATAGGAAAATGCCAATTTTTAGCACTTTAAAGCAAATTATACAAATACTACAATAGACATTTTGTTCAAACTATAATATTTGATGAGGAATACTATATCATACAATATATGTAAGAAACACACAATTCTACCGTCTTGTTACAAGAGGGGGCATCTCAAAATACAAAACATTCTACTAATTTTTTTAGAGTTTGACAAAATATGACCTACAAAATGGATTTACATGAAAACATAATAAAATGTTTCAGGTATTCTCAAATTTTTATGTTTTAAATTTCGCGTATGTTTATTACTTTTTCTTTAATAATACTTTTATTACCCCTTTCTTTAAGAGGTACAGATTATCATACCGTCAAAAACACACTGCAATGACGTCAACCTACCTATCAATTGCAAGAATCGGTTAAAAATCAATATATCAAATTTTTTTTACATTTTTATACTTATAATTTCTTAATTTTGTTTAATTTTAATAATTAAGCGAAAAAAATGTGCATTAAAATAGTAAATTCGCTTCATTTTACTATGGTGCGTGAAATATTGCGCAATGGAAACTATAGTCTGCCTCCTTAATCATGATCTCTTTTATTGTGTACACATAAGCATACATTTTGATTTGTCTGTGTTCAGTATCATTGGATTCTGTAAACAAGAGTTTTCAATTTCACGTAATTCAGAATTTTTATGTGTTTCAATATTATATTCATTGCTGTTATGTATTTGCAGAGTTGGATCGTCTGCAAACATATGAATATTAGAGTAATTAAGACATACAGGAAGATCATTTATATACAATAAAAATAGTAGTGGTCCTAAAATGGATCCAGTGGCACCCCTGCTGTGATAGGCAAAGGAGATACGGGAAGAATATGTGCCAATTTTTTACAATTTGGATCCTTTCGTTTAAATAAGACTGTTGTAATGCAGCTTAAAATCGTGTTATTTAACTATCTAATAAGGGTATGTTATATCTTTATCATTAATAATAAGGAAAGAAACGGATAAGTATAAGTTTTTAGCTTCCGCCTATTACATTTGCTTTGTTGACCTTTCGACCTCTCAAGATGTTGGCCCCGTTTCATGGTACTCCAAATGGATGTATCTTAAACTAAGGGCACACAACCCGCTAAATCATATTCGACCCCCTTCCCAATCTTTATCTTCTGATACGTTTCATGCTTGAGAGAAGAACGAACGACAGCACATAAACAAATCGGGTTCAATATTTGATTAGCACGGGGTCCTGAAGCAATCTTTAGAAATACTACGAGCAGGGCCCTGCTACGAGGGACAAAATGGTTCAAGTAAGTAATTATGCTTAAGAATTATTGAGCAGGTACATAGCTACTGAGGAACTAAATTAATCTTTTCAATAATCTTGTATAAAATAGAAGAAAAGAGGTATGTAACTCCTTTTATCAATTGTTTATTTATTATGTACTATATTCGCGTAATAATCTAACATAAGACCATTCAGCGTAAATTAATGTCAACAAACCCACGTGGAGCAGAAATGAATGGAAGTGACAGGCCTTCTCTTCAAAATAAGCAAGGTAACTCACGCTTTGTGATTAGCCTATTTTTTATTGTTATTCTTATATTTTATTGTTATACCCCCGCAAACGAAGTTTAGGGGGGTATATTGGAATCACCTTGTCTGTCTGTCTGTCCGTCTGTCTGTCAGTCTGTAGACAAGATTTTGTCCCGACCATTTCTCAGAAACTATTGGATGGATTTGTCTGAAAATTTGTACACTTATTATTCACCATGTGAAGGTGTGCACCTGGGATTTTCATCATGATTGGATGATTTTTCTGCATTTTACAGGCGTTTTTTCTTTTTTATTTTGTGATTTTGTTTGGCTCATAACTAGTAAACTATTAGACTTACAATCATCAAACTTGGACAATTTATGCATCTTGGGTAGACGGCGTGTCACGACCTATTTCAAGGTCACAGTGACCTTTAATTTAAGTGATATTTTAAAAAAAATTAAGTCTTTAAAATTTTAAATTTCATAATCCTAAAGAATGTAAAAATATAGTTGTATCCTTATTAAAAAATGTTAAATTAAGTAAAAACTTATTTTTTCATCATATACTTTACAGCAAATTCTGTAACAAATGTTAATCATTTGAGAGGAATTCATTTTGCCCCATGGGCATAATTATCAAGCACTGGTCAAGGAGAATTTTTGATAGCAGAAATGTGCATGTCAAATTAGAGAGAAATTAATGAGTTCATTGTCGGGAGTTAACTGGCAAGAGCATCATGCAGTATTATCTTAATTTATCTCTTGGGAGTTGGGCAAAAAGAAATGGCCTTATAGTTGCTTGTGTTAATTAAGAGTTCTTGATGACTGTAGTTCAGATAAAGATCTTTCAATCGGTGTAATGTAATTAAAACAAATTGATGTTTTAGTGTATGATTAAAACTGAATTAGTATTGTATAATATAATTAAAATTAATTAAAAATGTGTTCATTGAGAAAAAAAATTACATTCCAATTTTTATATATTTGCAACAAATTGTAGTCATGTCTCACTTAGAATTTTATAGTCTAAAGAATAATTAATTTTTGATTTTTTTTTAATGAGACTGTACTCAATTCTTTACTGTATACAGGGAAATTTTCGTCCCCGTTTTATTTTCGCCCCTTTCGCCCTACCCTCATTTGGGCGAATTTAAAACGGGGCAAATTCAAATAATACAGTATAATTATTTAAACAAAACTATGACTGGGCAAATTTAAAACGGGGCAAAATTGTTTGCAAGTGTGAACAGGCGAAAATAAGACGGGGCGAAAATAACCCTGTATACAGTATTTCCTTATGCCAAATGGCACATCAGACAGATACATGTACATTGTATTATAAACAAGGTATACATATATTCAGATCTTTCAATTGTATAATAAATGTCTACATACATATCATGAACTACGAACAGTTTAATAAATCTTTTCTTCGTTGTAAAGCACTGAACAAAAATTTTCCCAATTTAGACATTTCTTTAACATTTTGTACACTTAACAATTGTATCAATTTAAAGACACTAGGTTTTTTAACATAATACTGTTTTATATATTGTAGCATTTCCATTATTTCATAAAATATGCAATAAACAATTTAAAGCTACAGATGGATATTTGTTAAGCTCTAACACAGCCAGTTTAGAATTATATGATGTACTTTTTGTTTTAATTAATCCCTACACTCTAAGTCTCTTAGAGATGTATATGTACAATATTTTAAACATGATAAGAAATGGAAATTAGATCATTGAAATCTGTGTCATTCTGTTAATCAAGGTTACTTGATTTTCTTGCACCCTAACCAATTTATGATTATTGAACAATATTTGATGGGCGTATCATGCTGTGGCGGGGCACTTTTTTAGACAATAGTGAACACCTCTAACTAGATCCATTAAATATTTCTGAATTGGCACCTACTCTGAAAAACCCAGCGGGGGTATTTGTCCCTATTGGACAGTTCTAGTTTTAACTTGAAAATGTCGCCCCCCCTATGCAGGCATGCTTTAGATTATATATGATAGCTGTTATGGTAGGGTCTTATCGAACGAACTGGTACTCTATAATTAATTACCATGATTACATGCCTGGGAAAAATTATTTGAGGAATTATCATGCCGAGATAGTGTATACTATACACTATCTCGGCATGATAATACATTTATATATCCATTCTCTAATGTAAATACATGTTTGTTGAAGGATGGACCAAAATGTAAAATTTGGACAGAAATTAAGACGCAAGCATAAGAACTACATATTGTATTTTAGTCTGTATAGATGTGTCCCTACGGAGGCAGCTAACAGAAAGTGGGATATAATTAAGATTGCATTGTGAATTTGTTCTGTGTCCCCTCTTATAAATGGCAGAAGAAAACTCAACTCAGCACAACCAGAAACACTTTTCTGAAGGTGAATACATCAATTTATTATATTTCTAGTGGAAAAATTTTTCATAAGTCATGATACATATTTTTGATAGTATAACAAATTGTCTTATGTTTTGAGATAGAAAAAAAACCAACAATATACTATGGAAGTCAAGTCGATCAATATTTGGTAATCGCTTACTCTGGCTTTTTCCCAATTGTATAGAAAGTTACATGGTAAAATGTAGATAAAAGTTTGATCTTGATCGTAGATAAATTAAGCTCTATTAACCCAAAGAGCTGATTTTATCATGTTTATCAATGTAATACATGTACAAATAATTATCAATACCATTGGGAAAAAATTTTGGTACTAAAATTAGTTATCAAATAAAATACAAATGCATAATACACCAAAAATTACAAAAGGTTGTTTTAATATTGGATTTATTTGACAAACTGCTGAGTACATATGTAGGTTATATAACTTGCGAAAGAGAGGGGACGGATGTTGTTGGTCAGGATCGCTAGTCTTATATCATTCGTTGGTTGTTTCCAGTATATACACTAAACTTACTACTTTCAGCAGTTTTAAATCTATTGTTTTTTCTATATACCCACTTCACTCTTGAAGTTGGTATAGTGGCATTAATTTCTTTGCATGTCAGATTTCACCGAATGAATAAATGTAGATCAAGGCGATAACGGGTGTTTAACAGCTAGATGTATAGATGAAGACATGCTAATTACCATTTGCCTGTTTGAGTTATTATTGATAAGGTTTTAATAAAAAATATGTACATTGATATAAGAAATAATATGTATCCGAGTAACCGAGAACCTATTTTTAGTAATGGATACTTGGACGTTTATCGAGTACCCGGTAAAATTTACTTCCCTAGTAAATATACTAAAATACATCGTAAAAGGTTATTTGAAGTCCTTAATTTCATTTATTTTAAGTCAGATACATTGTAAAATATTTTTTGTTAAATAAACATTATGAGATATTAATTTTTTTTCAATAATACACTTTGTAGAAAATTCTGCCAAGAGACAGTTGTGAGGGGAATTTTGTAGATAATCTCCAGAAAAGAAATCACCACTGGTATTGGCGTGTATGTCTACAAAATTTAACAATCATCAAAGACAAATTTACCACAAGAATAAAAATAAAATTGTCTGGCGTTCAAGGACTTGCCATGGTAGAAGCTGTCCTGAAAAAACATTCCATTTATTATGGACATAATGACACAGGGTTCACCTGTCATCAGCATTAGAGACCTGTGATTTGTTCTACCTGGATCATAGTTACGTGTATTGAATGAAAACAATTCATAGAACCACAAACACATTGTAAATCTATGCAAGGTCTTTTATATATGTTGCATTCTTGTTTAATTAACTGTTTTTAACAAGACTTATTTTCATTGGTACTAAAACTTAATATACATAAAGAAACCAAAATGCAGTTGTGATATTTATTGTTTTCTTTTACTCATTAGTACTCGTCTTCGTGTGAAATTTTATAATTATCCATTTCTTGTTCCCAAAAACCATATCTTTCAAATTTTATGTATTGCAACTTGCATTTCAATTTTAACTTGTCGAATTCTACTTAACAAAAACTAGAGGTACTGTGAGCAACGAGCTCACTATTGAAACCCCTGCCTCCCATATGATTATAATGGAAAAGTCCATGTTTTGCTTTGACCAGGAATCCCACACTATGTGTTGGATCAAAAAGTAAAATAAGAGTAAACAATGGCAATATATAATAAAGATTCTGTGACGGTTTCATAAAATTTTCAAAGTAAAACAGACGGACGGACAGCTAGACAGCTGGACGGACGGACACACATTTGGTTATATATTGGGTACATCAAGTCCAAGTCCTATTGGATACTGCTTATTGGATACAAAAAAAGTGTACACACGAGAGAGCATTATTTGGGTAGTTACTGTTCAAATCTTATTGGATATTAATCCTGTGTCCGGATTTATTGGGTTTTTTCTTATTGTTTTTTATTCATTTCTAATTTATTATATATTTTATTTCTGGTAGATTCAGACAAGACTGAAAACTTTTGGTTTTGAACCCATATTTTTGTCAATTTCTATGATATAGCTCTTTTATTGTAACATCTAACTAATTTGTTCTTAGCAGTAAGGAAATACACCTGTATATTTCAAAAATATCTGATATTAAAATATATGAATACCTAAGTGCAAAAAAACTGTGAAAACACAAATCAACACATCTCAGACTCTGTTCAACCCTTCTTGAATAACAAAATTAAGTTTTTAAGGAGAAACCTTTTTGAGTCATGACCAATTAATAATAAGCAAATGCCCATTACATGTTGGACAGAATGAAGGTATCCAACAGGCATTGGACAGGTGTCCAATACCTGTTGGGTTGTATTTTGACGAAGGGATTAAACTACCCAAGAACAATTGAACATGTGTACATTGTCCAATTCTAATTGGGTTTCTTGAATCTCCTCATCAAAATACAAGCCAACAGGTAATGGATACCTGTCCAACTCCTCTTGGATATCTACATCCCATCCAACAAGTAATGGACACTTGTCCAATTCTAATTGGGTTTCTTGAATTGCTTCATCAGAATACCACCCAACAAGTAATGGACATCTGTACAACTCCTCTTGGATATCTATATCCCACCAAACAGGAAGTGGATACTTGTCCAATTCTTGTTGGATTTCTTGAATAACCTCATCAAAATACAACCCAACAGCTTTTGGACACCTGTCCAACTCCTCTTGGATATTACATCCCACCCAACAGGTAATGGACACTTGTCCAATTCTTCTTGGGTTTCTTGAATTGTTTCATCAGAATACCATCCAAAAGGTAATGGACATCCGTCCAACTCCTCTTGGATATCTACATCCCACCCAACAGGCAATTGACACTTGTCCAATTCTTTTTGGATTTCTTGAATCTCCTCATCAAAATACAACCCAACAGCTTTTGGACACCTGTCCAACTCCCCTTGGATATTTACATTCCACCCAACAGGTAATGGACATTTATTCAATTTTTCTTGGACTTTTTGAATTGTTTCATCAGAATACCACCCAACAGGCAATGGACATCTGTCCAATTCCTCTTGGATATCTACATTCCACCCAACAGGCAATGGACACTTGTCCAATTCTCCTTGAGTTTCTTGAATTGTTTCATCAGAATACCACCCAACAGGTAATGGACATCCGTCCAACTCCTCTTGGATATCTACATCCCACCCAACAGGTAATAGACACTTGTCTAATTCTTCTTGGGTTTCTTGAATTGTTTCATCAGAATACCACCCAACAGGTAATGAATAACTGTCCAACTCCTCTTGGATATCTACATCCCACCCAACAGGCAATGGACACTTGTTAAATTCTTGGGTTTTTTGAGAATCTTCTCATCAAAATACTACCCAACATGTAAAGGACACCTGACCGATTCCTCTTGGATATCTTCATCCCTTCAATAGTATATTAACCAAAAGGTATTGGACATTCTTCTTGGGTTCCTGAATTTTTTTTCATAAGAAAGAAAACCCAATAGGTATTGGGCATTGGTTCAACTCCTCTTGGATATTACATCCCAACCTTAGAATTAAACCCAACAGGTGATGTTCACCTGTCAAATTCTTCTTGGGTTACTTATACCCTTCATTAAAATTGTCAAATTTGTCTTGGATATTTATACTCTTGCATTAGATTGCAAAGTATGACATTTACCTTCCCTAGTTGAATCAAAATTTATCTGCACTAGCATACATAAGTCAAAAACATATTTAATACTTTAATTCTAACATTCCACATCTCATTCAGTGTACACTTTATAAATGATAGGAAACATATAAGCATTTTGTGCCAAAACTTTGGCTTTTAAAGAATTTTATAACCATGTTTGCTAGATTTAAATTTAAATATTGGAGAAAGTCATTACAGGTAGAGCAAGATTCTGAAAACCATATTGATAAACAGATCACACCCTTGATAAAATAGGTGCCTTCAGTTGCTAAGATTGTGTTGTATTATATGGAATATTTCTATTATCCTGTTTATTACAGATACATGTACAATGCATATTTTCCCTGTAATAATAAAAATACTTCTGAGATGCGAAAGAATAGATTTAATAGTCACCGATGTTAAAAGCTATTACAGGATTCATTAATCTGGTTTGGAAATCACAAACTTAGTTTTGAAGCCGATAACACAGTGTCGCACCAGAAATTCAGTTACAAGTACAATGAATGAATTCGTTGTATCAAAACTTAAAAAAAAATGATGCACTATGTCCAAATCTTTTCGACAAATCGGGATAAAGATATTAAATCAAATCATCACTGTTATAAGTCTTAGAGCAAGAGAAAAGTCATTACATGCCCAAATTTTACATGTAGGGCTTTGATCCTATATTTCAATAAATGTCAAAATGGTTTTATTTTTGTTTCTGTTCAATACTTTCTTCTTCAGGGTATCCCATGGCCTATACTGTATGATACCTCCATTGGCCCTGCTCTTTTATGTTGCCATATGTTTATCCAGTAGCAGTGGTTATGCTCAGGCAATCTTTAAAATATTCCTCATTTCATGCATCTCCTTTAGATCTGCCTCTGTCCATTTTATTTATTCTGCAATTAGATAAAGACATTTCTTTGCCGTATAAAACATGTTTTCTTGACTACAGCAAGATCACTCTTTATGTTGAACAAACCCAACCAAGAAGTAGAAGTATATTTCTTCTTCAGAAATATGTATTGATAAATAAAATGGAAGAAAACTAAATTCTATCAATTCTTTTTTTTCTTGTTTCTTCTATGTCTAAATGCATCTTCATCCTCCTCCCCCATCTGCCATAATTTTATCAAAATGGAATCATCATTCAACACACAAAACGGTGTTGTTTATTAATTAGAAAGTAGGTTAGTTTCTGGTTGAAGGAGAATTTAAAAAGATTTTACACCTATTCGTTGCAAATTTAAGACTTCTAATGTAACACTATCAGTACATTAGGGTACATAATCTTCAAAAACATCTCTACACTTAATGATAAGAAGCTTTCACATTAGTATTATTTTTAGCCCAATAGTTCTGCTAAAGAGGATTTAAAATTGACCCAAACCTTACTAACTGCTTTGACAGGAACAGAGACACACTTGACACTCCATCCCCCCTTCCTGGGGTATGCTTTGCACAAAATTTAATTAAAATTGACTAAGCTGGATAGAAGTTGAAAATATGAAAAATTACAGTCAAACAGATTATGAATATTTTTCAATACATCAGACATGAAGTACTGATCCTTAAATAAAATACACCTAAAAGATGAAGCTGTTTTATTCCTTTGAAGTGATATCTAGTATTGTTTCTTTTCCTGTATGCCACCTCTATCAGAACAAAATGTTATACACGTATTAACATAACCTTTGACCGTATAGTACCCCGGTATTTACTTTACAATTAATTAAGTTCTGGAACCAACCCTCAGATGCCCTTAAAACAAATGATTAAAAACTGGCAAAGGTAAACGACATCTGAAGAATTTAAAATAAAATGTAGTACAAACAAACAAACAGTGTGCATGAAAATGTTGACATACACTAGAAAAAATAATAAGGTACTTTCTCAAACTCAACATGAATACTAAAGAGGTTTTATGTAGCTGTATTGCACATTCATGTACCAAAAGCTTCCCTGCAGTTAAAGGTTGGTTGCCTAGTAGACGTTTTGTACTATGTACAAGTTTTCCCCGCTATCTCTTCTAATTTAAGAAGCGAAAATGTCTCTAAAAATCTTATGGTTGGCATGAAGTATTCCTAATCATTTTACTGATTACTTACAATTGTCCTATTTCTGAGGGTCATCTTCTGATGAGTGGGTTCTCTGCGATGTTCACAATTGAAGTTCCTGTTTGACCTGTTACACATTGAAAATCCTCAATGAACATCGTGGTTTTAATTTCCATTGCAATTATTGATTACTTTTATTAAAAAAATCTAAACCAATTTATTGTAACATAATACTTAGGAAAATATTTATGTAATATCAATGAAAAAAAGGAATCATTATCTCC